AGGTAGAAATGAAGTTATGACTGCAGGGTCTTGCATGCAGCCTTCAGGATTTCCTCCTCACTTGTATCTGAAGAAAGAGTTGACTGTGTTTGTTTTCTTAAGAATTCATGTGCAGGGAGCAATTTTAGCAGCATTTGCTCCAAGAGGCTTTAATCATTTTACTCCTACCAATAATAAAAGAAATTTGCACGTGAGACGTGCAGGGCTAGTACATTTGAGATAGTCTGGCTTTTGTCAGCATTTTTTATTTATGCTCGTTTCCTACTGAAGGCTGACTGATGAACCTGGGGGTTTAACATGAGGCAGTTGATCTCTTTGTATCTCGGAATGTGGATGTTATCAATTAATTGTTTTTATGAACTTTTTTGTCTCCCCTTCAGTATTAAGAGAAGTGTGATGAAATACTATCACAGCAAGCATCACTTGTGACACACACTGGTAACTTCAGAAATGTTAAAAATATGTACTCTGTAATTTTGTACGGATGCTTTGAATCATTGGAGGACTTTCAGATACTTTATTGAATTCTAGATTTGGCAGGTCTATTGACTTTCTGTAGACACTGTGTAGTGTTGTTTGGGAATTATATTAAATCCACCATTTTTCTTCACTTTACAGCTGAGTGAAATAAGTGGAATACCCTTAGAAAACATTGAATTTGCAAAGGTAAGTACGATTCTGTGCATTTTTACTTTCTAATGGCACAGATGTGTGATTGTGAGTTTATTGTATTCACTGAGTAATTGTTTTTTCTCAGGGTAGAGGAACCTTTCCATGTGACATTTCCATACTAGAGATTCAGCAAGACTTGGACTGGAATCCTAAAGTATCTACATTAAATGTCTGGCCTCTGTACATTTGTGATGATGGTGCAGTAATATTTTATAGGTATGTATTTCATTACTTTATAATAAACCATGCAAAAAAAGCTGTGTCTAAGATCTGAGGAGTGATGTAATCAACAGGCACATAAAATACTCTTCTGTTACCATAAACAAAAGAGGTTTAAAATATTAAGTTGAAATATTTGTGCTCCTCAGCTTCCTAAAAACCTATTAATTAAGTTTAAGAAAACAAGCACTGCACCCTTTTTCTCAATCCTTCCTCCCAAACCATTGAAAATATTTTGCTGAATGCAAAACTAGTTGCTATGCGTGTCTGTGTGGATTTAATATCTTAAAATATCCCTTGTGGAGTTTGTGAATGTCTTGCTGTATGTTTTGGAGAGCAAGGATTTTATTTTCAGAGTTTATTCCTTTGAGAAATTAGTAAGGCTTATTTGGAAAAAAGGCTGTTAGGATAAAAATTCTGTTAAAGGTGAAAAACACTCATCAGCTGGTGGCAATAGCCCCGAGGCAGCATTTGAAGACTGAGAGCTTGAATATTGTCATTCTTCTAAACTTGGTGGGTGGGGCAACCTGATTGCTTCTGTGGTATTTTTCATGATTGTGTGTGAGTTGTTGGGGAAACAGCTGGTTGATAACGTGCTGGTCTGGATGAAAATTATTTGGGAGAACATCTGGTAGCTTCTAGTAGGGGCTGGCTGCCTCGCTGCTTCCAGCTGTTGGCACTGAGAGCTAATACAGAGCAGAGCCATAGCTGTCTATAAAGAATAGGAGTTAGGGAGATGGAGGAGTATGGGCTTGTTTCTTCCCCTGGGTGAATGTGTCTGCTGGAAAAGCAGGTTTAGACAGATTGTTGGTGTCTGCAGAAGAGGGAAACAATCCCTAAGAACTATTATGCTTAGTTGCGGTTTTAATAAGTTACTTAAAGTGAAAAAAAAGCAGAAATCTAATTATGATTAGCGTATTGATCTGAACTTTAACATGTTTACATTTTAGGGATAAAACTGAAGAATTAATGGAATTAACAGATGAGCAAAGAAATGAACTGATGAAAAAAGAAAGCAGCAGACTCCAGAAAACTGGACACCGGGTAACCTACTCTCCCCGTAAAGAAAAGGCACTAAAAATTTATCTGGATGGAGCACCAAATAAAGATTTGACTCAAGACTGATACTTGCTATAGCATTTTCCCTGGGGAATTTTTTTTGTTTCCAATAAAGAGGTTCACTACTACTGTGTAGTGCCATTACGGCAGGACATTCATTAGGTGTAAAGCGCTGACACCAGCAGCGGGCGGGCGATGACCCGCCAGCAGCGCAGGGCCCCGCCGGGTCACTGCTTGACTTCGAATCATGTTGTGCACTATAGTCAAATGTACTGTAAAGCTAAAAGGGATGTGCAAATAAAAGATTAGAACTAAAAAAAAAAAGTGGGCGGGGAGGGAATCGAGTGGAAATTTTTTGAGGACAGTGTGCACATAGTAGCTAGTGAAACTAGCCTCAAACAGGATACTCATAGCTTAATAATAAAAGCTGTGCAAAGGCCATGAAAGAATCCTTTTCTCTGTTTGTTTCACTGATACACGCATTACCTCATCAGAGAGTCGGAAGTAAACGTTAACCCATTGGTTCTAGAAGAGCGGCAGAAAAGGCCCAGAGATGGAAGTGCTACAAGTGCGAGGTTTTATAATATTCTTCCATAAAACAGGTGGTCTGAGAGGTGTCTGCAGAAAGCTGCCAGCAGGCGCTGTTTGTGTGCAGAAGTGCTGTTGTAAGGTAAACCGGGGGTTTTTAATAGGTTACGGAAGCCGATGAGCAGCTCTAGTGTATTGCGTTCGATGTGTAAATAAAATTTGCCCTATCCATTCACCAGAACTGCAGTTCAGCTATTTACCATGCTATTTCTTTTCACATATCAACATTCATTGTGTACATTTGGAAGTATAGTTGCCTATTTAAATTTGTATTCATTTTATGTTTGATGATGCTGGGTACTTTAGGATTGTACTTCCCCTTGTTAATTAAGTTTTTGTTTTGTTCCGCTACTTTTTGTACATTTTGTTTAAGACTATGACAAGTTTGCATCTTCTCCACCCGCTGAAAGTCAGTTTATTATTCCCAGAGTTGATTCCATAGCTATATATAGTCAAATATTGGGGCAACCTCTAACACCTCAACGTACAAACTTACTAGTTCAGGCTGTGGTGCAAAGACTGATGCAGTCAACGTGATTTCATTGCAAAGCCTAGGAACAGCAATTTCTTGCTTTGGTCCATAAAGATCAATAGAGAACAATTCTCCATAGTTTTTGGGAAAAACCACCTAATTTATAACAATCAAAAGATTTTGGTAAACTTTTTCATGCCAGATGCTGTTTACAACAATGAACATGCCAATAAAACATTTGTTCATTCTGTTGTGTTATTTTAATCATTAAATGCTGTGTTTTTTATTATAAAAAATATGGAATTATTTGATGGAAATGCAGACTTTCCCAAGGCAGTGCTGGAATTGGAAGGCTGTGTGTTTGCGTGTATGTGCACACTCCCCCATGTACAGAGTGTTACAGGAAGTTGGTTTATAGCTTGTCTGCTTCTCTTGTTTAAGTTCCCACCCATTTTTTTCTTCCACCGTGAGTTTCCTTTTCCAGAATTGAACTTCTCACCAGTGAAACTTCAACTTCCAGTTATGATTGGCAACTGATTTCTGATGCAGAGGGAAAAGGATGTTCAACAACTGAACCTTCAGGTCTTCCTTGCATGCTGGCCCACAGCAACCTAAAAATCCTGAGGAATCTGGCAGCTTGAGAAGCAGGCACTGCACAGATGAACTCCCTCGTTCTTCCTCTGCTGTTTGTCCTGTGCTGCCCCTTGCCCAACATAAGTGAGGTGGCAAAGGGAGTGGAGAGGGAGCACCATCCCCTTGGCAGGCTATGTCATTAAACTGCCCTTTACCATTTACACAGACTGCTGAAGGATCCTTGGAGCTTTTGAAGAGAGGAAGAAAATTATCGAATGGATCATGAATTTTCCTCAAAGACAAGTGGAGAGGCAAAAATCTATAGATAAGAGCTGGGGATTACAGCATCAAGAACTTAGGGGAGAGTAATAATATCATTAAGAGGGCAGTATTTGCAGACAATTACTGCTCTCTTGAGTGTTTTTTAAATGGATTAATTTTCTATCTTTGTATAGATGGGCTGTCTCTAAGGTACAATAATTTCATTAGGGATAGAAAGGAGAGGTTCATTCAGTGAACTCTGAGAGCAGGTGCCTGGGTGTATGTGCTGGTGTGTGAATTAGTTGTAGAATCCTTAAACTGAAAGATAGTTCTGATGAAATGCCCTCGTGTTCATAATGATAATGACTATTAACATTAATTCTGGTACCCAAGGAATTTATTGAAAAGCTTTCATAGAACAGAAGTGGTGAAAGATGTGCAGGCTGGGAGCACAGTCTTACAGCTGCTCCTGTTGGTGCTTTACTGTTCCAAATTAGAGATAAGCAGGAGGGATTATTTGGGAAGATGCGCCGTGAAAAGTTACTTGGCTGGAACCTCGTGTCATATTTTCCGACTGGAATAACAGTTGGTGAAATCTGTACCCCAGAAAACCATTAATAGTGGAAGAGCCATTGAAGCAAACTGGTGAGACAGCTGGGAGCTGGGGAGTTTGGTGGATTGAATTTTACTCTTGGCTTGCCATCGATTTCTTAAATCAATGACCTCTTAAAGATGGTCACAACAAGCACAGCTTGTAACATGCAGAGATTTACGAAGTGTATTAAAAGCATAAACTATTCCTCAAAGGTTGCTCTCTGGGTGTAAATCTCTAAGTGCAAGAAGCTATTTCAGTTGTCTTACTGCTAAGGTGAAGTAAGGAATTGATGTTCACTGCCCCTGCATCTCACACAGGGCAGGTGATGATGGAATGTTGCCAACAGGCCCTTAAACAACATCCCCCAAGAAGGAACGTTCAGTGTGGTGCAGAGTGTTCCGTGGCACTGTGACACCCACAATCTGGATGTTGCAGCTTCACTGACTGTATTTTCTAAAGAAAAAAAAAAAATTCCATAAAATTAACAACTACAACAGCTCAAAGTAGATGGTTCATACTCAAAAGTCACTTAAAATTATTTACACTTATGTGTATTTTTTCATGAGTATAGGTACTAATAAGTTTATTTCTGATGTACACGGGGAAAGAACTAATCCAGAAGAAACACTGATATGGTTCTCATTTGACAGAAGGTTTGGTCCAAGGATTGAATGAATTCAACAGTAGTTGGAACATGCAGGTTTGGTGCACAGAGAAGGATTTTCATTGAAGACCTTGTTTATTGCACTTCTATCCAGCAGTGTGTGTTTTAGGGTTTATATAAGCAAGACACTAGACAAAAAAATTCTACAAATGACTAACTAAACTGCCTGGTGCTTGGACTTTAAATTTCATCTCCCAGAACCAGGTCCTGAGCTGAGTCAGGCTCAGGCTTCAAACCAGCTTGGGCCTCCAGACTTTCTAATTCTCTACGCACTTCCTGAATGACACTGCTTTCTTCATAATCAGAGAGAATATCTCTGGGGATTAAGCTGAGAAATGGCATCTCCTCCATGATTAAGGGATCTTCTTTGTCATTATTCCGGGTTTCATTGGCAGACAGTTCACACACAGACGTAGGGCTGTGGCTGTTGGGAAAAGAGAGACACAACTGGTCATACAGTACATCACTTTGTGTTCTGCTGCTTTCTTTGTACAGTTCCCTCCCCACCTGAAAACATGTTAAATGCATAATACATCTATCCTGGCTGATTTCATAAAGATCTGGTTTTTTACAAGCTTGACAGCTGGAGAGTTAAAGGTGAGATTTTCACATACAGAGCTAGAACAGATCCAAAGAGCACAGAGATGTTTGATTCGGGGACACAAGGTGGCAGTGGCCCTCAGCACACCCTGGCCCTTCTGCAGGCTCCGAGGGTGACTAGACCTTGTCATAATACCAAGTTTAGAAATACGGTCATCCAGCTTAAGAGGAAAACTCTGAGCTTTATGTGTTTGGTTCTGCACAGGGCAGTGTAATCACTACAGTTGCTGCTCTCCCTGTTTTGTGAAGCCACTTTGAAAAGCGGCTTCACTTGTCCTCCAGACAAACATCCCACGTTTTTTGCAGCAACCATGAAAGGGATAATTTATAGTTGTAGTCAGGAGGCAGGGGAACAGAAGTTGATCATGGTTCCTCTGCTATTTCTCTGCACTGCAGGGGATGGAACTGGGCTACAGGTCCATGTCAGGTGAGCACTACTTGTGCCAGGTACCCCTCAGCAACTGCTGAAAGCTGTATCCTCTTCCAGTGGAAACAGCATAAATGAACTAAAGATGTTCCTGAAGCTTATTTTCTGTATATTTTGAATTCTTTTGCTCTCTAGGAGTTCTAAGACTTCCATTTGTGCACAGACTGTCCCTGTGTTCTTTTTGGTATAATCTAATAGTTTCAGTGTTTATCCCTTGCTCGTAATATGAAATGGTCACCGGCCATTTCAAGCAGAGAGGGACTTTCTTTTATTATAAAAAATGTTATCAGAATCAGTAATTCAGATAAAAAGTTCTTCTGACTATAGCTGGACAGTTCAGTTACATTCACACCCTAAGTAATTTCTGTGTTCATATATCCTCATCTGAAATGCCTTTCTTATAACTAGACATGACATTTGCTGACAGACCTTCCCTGAGGTTAATGGCACATTAACTAGAATGTTGGTGCTGAAAGGATGGGATCAGCTCTGCTTGTTTCCTTAGATGACATTTATGAAACAAAATGTTACCCAATTCCTTTTCATGCATGAAAAAATGTAGAAAGAGTTGGACACAGAGGAAAGAAATATTAATTTACATCTCTATCCCAGCTATGCTGTCTTGTTGGAAGTTAATATGATGCTGGTAGGGTAGGAACAAAGTTGGAGAATTTCACAGGAAACATGTAAGTTTTTTAAAAATGCTTTTAGTGCAAAACTGAAATGACCTCACTTCTCCCAGTGAAACTGCTGATTATGCAAATAACTGTCCTTTTAGAGAATGATTAAAGGCATTATCTATGCAAAGTTTTAAGTTCAAGCAGAAAACAGCCTGCTTCCTATCTGGTGAAACTCATTGCTAGTGAAGAAGTCTGCACAGTTTGAAGTGTTTCAAGTCTGAGAGCAGATCACAAGTTAGTGACAGAGAAACTGGCACTTTGGGTTAGTTTGGAACTGGGGGAATGCACAAACCAAGATAGATTAATTTTTTTTTTCTTCAATACATGTGCCCGTCTGTAAAGCTGATCAGTAGTGCAGGAAATACTACACTGTATTTAAAATATCTTGCATGTGTCTTACATATGAAAGCAAGGAAAACATCTAACAGAAGCTCAGTCTAACGTAGAAAGTTGGTGGACAAAGAACAGTATGCAGAGGATTAAATTGAAATGATACATCTCAACAGCTGTAAGTACTGCCTGATTAACTCACAGGCTTAATTCACATGGGATTAACGTGTTGCCAAACTCAATTAGGCACATCTGTGTGGGACAAAGCAGAAAGTTTCAATGCTACTGATGAGAAAAGTTGTCAAAACATTCTCTAGTGAGGCAGACTCTGCAAGTTCTGCAGCCATTTACCACAGAAACAGACCCCTCCGAATTTTTAAGCAGGTTGTTTGCCTGGTTTGGATCTTTACCTCTGAGATTGGCAGATCAAGCCACTTGCACATGGGCATTGCTCGAGCACTCCATCGGGTTCCAGGTCCCAGGTGATGAGGTTGAGAAGTCTGTTGGAAGGATCGTGGCAGGGTTCACCCTCCTCGGGTAAGGGCGTGCACACAGGGAACAGCAGCTCTGGGTGCCAAAGGAGAGGCGTTTATGAGAAGTCCGTAGCTGTCTGCTAAACTGAGGTGACCTCATCTCTAAGGTGTGTATGCATGATATAGAAGGACAGAACTGAACTCTTTTTCAAGTCCCCTTACAAATAAGGGAGCCATAAATTAATGTTTTTTCCACTAGGTGGGAGTAAGACATTTGAAGTTTATGTTTAATGAGCAAGATCAACTCCTGCTCTTCCCAAAGAGAATGAGTGTCAAGACAGCAGTACTGCACAACACCATCCCTTGGAGATTCCAAAGATTATTATAAACCCAAGAAAACCTTACAGTGAATGCTTTGCAATGTGTGGCATTAATGGTTTAAAATCTGAATAGAGAAATACCTCTGTATTTTAGAACTCTGTTAGTTTTGCTATTTCTTTGCAGAGGTTACAAATATACAGAGCAATTGTTCAGAGACTAACTAATAAGGTGAAAAGAACTACAACATTTAATTTATTACAGTAATACTGCTACACACAAAGCTGTCTGATGGCATTTGGGGCTTGGCATCCTTGTTTCTGCACAGGGCTGAATTTCAAACTGTGTAAGAAATTATTTTAGAAGGCTTCATCCTCTGGGTTTCCTGATGCTACTAACTTATAGTGTCAGTCTGGAATTCAGATTTCCAGATGCTCCTATCCAACCTCCCTTCCTCCTCTTGCCTTCGTTCTCCCGATATGGCAGAATAAAATATGAGAGGAATTCAAAATTCAGGTCTTTAAAACAGATGTGGTCAAAATACACATGTATGTGCATGTATACATATATATGCTTCAATATATGTCACCTATCAGTTCCCAATTTCAAAACAGATTATATATTAACCAGATTATATATTAAGCAGTGAAAACTCCATAGTTTACTACTATTTTTATATAAAAAATACACATTTTTATTAGGACAACCTTTTGCAATACTGTGGTGATGAAGAAATGCCTTGAAGTAGGCAGGCCGAACCTGAAAAACCCTGCTAAAGCACACAACCATAGAGAATAAAAATTCATTGATGTTAATCAATAACTCTATTTTAAGTTTTAATAAGTGCATTCTATCCATTTTCATCAATATTTTTATCTATTGGTTTATATATGCATATATATAGTAAATATATTTCTTCTTAATAACTATATGTCTGTTGTTCCTTCCTGAGTTACAAGTTTGTACTAAAATTCTAGTCGAGATCTAAAGAGCAGCCTGGTGCTACTAACACCAATGGGATGCATACTACTAATTGACTCATCTCTGCAGCATAAGCAGATTCAGAGTCCTGCATGGTGACAGTAAAAGCATGTATTGAAACTGCTCTTCTTGTCTTATTTCAGAATCAGAGCACAAAGAAATCTCTGACAGAGCGTGGCAAAACCTGTAAATGCTTTAGGCAGAACTTGATGAAGGGAGAAAAAACTGCTCCAACCAAAACTTCAGTAACAGTGAAGGTCCACTATGTAATAGTCAAAATTAGCATGGGAAAGCTGAGCATCTCCTTGGTTTTCCTGAAATGCCCTGGCAGCCTGATCCACCAGCAAGCTGACAGCGGGACAGGCACCCCAACCATCAATGCAGGTACAAGGTCACATCTTGCTCATAGCAAGAACCAGGAAGAAAGCTAGAGAAGTATCTACCTGGTGTAGGGAGATGGTTGGAATTGTGTCCTGTCACTACAAAATTAGGGTGAATTACAAAAAATGCAGAGAGAAATCAGTGGGTATAAAACATAGAAGAAACTGGATCCTAACCAGACAGGATTTGGGATTAATTTCAGGCCTCAGACCTTCTCCTCCTGTCCTCCCTTCTGTAAATCAAGTTTCGCATTCCCATGTGGAGCAACAACGTAATCTGGGACATCATTCCTCAATGTATCTTGGCTGCCTGGTCAGTATTGCACAGTGTGGTGCCTTGAAAGGCGGACATAAAACTCAAGAGTATGGAATGTATCTGCACTCTGATTCTGACAGTCTGCTTGCTGATAGGAAGGAGAAGCCACTTCCAGTAATCTCATAATTTTTTTTGTATATTTTAAATTCTCTTATTTTTGGTCTATTGGGTGAAAATTTGACAACAGAGCTCCGCTACTTTTAAATGTGTAAGACTTCCCTTTAGAAACATAAGTTTTTGTGCTTCTCGTCCTGGTCTCATCTTTAGTGTGCAATAGGCTTTTCTTTCACCATTGTGCACCCCTATCAGACTGTTTCTCACTCCTAATTCTATCAAAGTTTTATAATGAAGTTACAGGTGAAGTTATATAAAGGGAGAATGACCTAATGATTCTATAGAGATTTAGCAACTTCCCCCGAGTAAAAGAGGGGATATGTTATATATTATATAGTGTGTGGAAATGAATAGGATAAGCCTCTCTGTACCTTTCTGAAAAGCACAGCACATTCCAGGGTTGCAGTCGTGTTGGTTCTCACAAATGGTGCCGTTCTCTCCTTTTGAAGTGGATTTCCTGCACTCGCCCCACACGCAGAGCTGTTCTCCGCAGCATTCAACGTCCCGTGAGCAGGGCTTGCAAACGGAAAAGCCATGTGAGAAAACTGTCACTTTAGCGCTAATTGCTTATATCACAGACAGCTAAACACAGAATTAACCTGGTCCTGATGACAACTGCATATTGTGCTTTTAATATATGTGTGTCATATTCCCCTTGGTAAATAAAGCGGCTTGAGGTTCTCCATTTAAGCAAACATAGAACTTTTTGCCAGACAGGAACCTCCACACTACAGTAACAACACCCTTTTTACACTAACATACTTCCAGTACTACAAGACCTGAATTCTTACTTTAGCATTCACATGAACACTGATCAGCAGCCAGACATCTCATGGTGTGGGCTGGACAGGGCCTTGAAGATCATCCAGTTCCAACCCCCCTGCCATGGGCAGGGACAACTTTCCCTAGACCAGGCTGCTCAAAGCTCCATCCAACCTGGCCTTGAACACTCCCAGGGATGGGGCATCCACAACTTCTCTGGGCAACCTGGTCCAGTGCCTCACTACCCTCACAGTAAAGAATTTTTTCCTACTACCTAATCTAAACCTGCCTTCTGTCAATGGGAAGACATTCCCCCTTGTTCTCTCACTACATGCCCTTATAAAAAGTTCCTTTTCCAGCATTCCCGTAGTCCCTTAGGTACTGGAAGACTGGTCTAAGTTCTCTCTGGAGCCTTCCCTTCTGCAATCAAGGGAAATAAAAATTAAGAAATGGAACATTATTGACGGAAAACAGTGCTGATTTTTTTTTCCATTGCTAAATTCAGTCAGGAATTTACAATTTGTTCAGAAGGATTGTTTTCAAAGAGCACAGCAAAAAAAAAAAAAAAAAAACTTACTAAAATCCTTTTGCAGTTGTAATAAAAACCAGATCTCATTGGTAACCAAGAATCTTTGTAAAAAATCTCTGAAAAAAAAACCTCTTTGAAAAGCAGAAACGCAAACCTCTGGCTAAAGATAGCTTTGTGTGACAACTGCCCCCGTGTTTCAACTGCACACACCTAATAAATCAACCTAATAAAAAGGGTGTGTCCTTTCTTTAGGTAGTTTGATTAACATCTTAGGGATTCCTAGCAGGTCAGTGCTTTAACAGCTTTTTCCTGCCTATGCTAAGCCCTGTCTGGGCAGCCATACAAAATCTGAATTTCTTTTCCAGTGAATCCCACAGGAAGTGCTTGACTTGGGGTAAGGAGTAGGACTGCACTGGTATTATTAAGACCTGCTAATTAGGGAGAAAAATGCTTTGTAATTGTGGGGGTTCTAGGTCAGGGAATTGATCCCACGTCCTTCAGTCTGAGCTCACTTTACAACAGAAGTGTAGCTAGCACTCCATTTTTACTTTATCCTACAAACGTTCTGCTGAGGACTGAAAAGGTGGGATTACAGGGGGGTGTAGGTGAGGGGCATCTCGATCTTAATTTTGAATTATTCCATGTTAACATGAAAAAATATCAGTTTAACATTTTCTAAAATATGAAGAATAAGCTTTCTCAATGACACAGATAGGACATTTTCAGAACTTTAAGCAAGCTTTCAGTCCACTGAAGTCAATAGAGCTCCCTGAAGCTATCAAGATAACGATTTAAATAATTTCAGGAACAGCCTGATGCTTTTAAGTTATAGCAATCCTAATGGCTTTACATGAATTTACAGCAACATTTAGTTGCTTGAACATTGGACTGTCCGCAAATGCTTTGAGGAATGAATTTGTTTTACAAGAGGCCATCAGCAGAACTTAGCTAAAAAGGGGCAGTCAAATAAAAGGGCTTTTTCGACAGGCTGCTTCTCAACTGCATTTTGACCACAGAAAAAGCCTGAACTTCTCAGGCATCTGTCCCTTACAGAAGACAATTTTAATCATAGCTACTATTAAGAACATCTATCTTTTAGCTCAAAAGACAGGAACTGACTGCTTCCCCAAGCTGACAGATTCAAATAACATAAGAGGACCCTGTGCAGTCCCCACTGCACTACAGCATTGCACAGTTTGTCAGTGAAGGCAAGAGGGCAGGCTGCTGCAATTCCCTTTGTGAATCCAGAGCTGGAAACAACCGTCAGCTGAGCCTTAGGAGCTGCCACAGGATTTCCTCTTTGCCCATTCCACTGGCAACCTACAATGTGTTACTTTACACTGTCCTTAGGCCACCCAACAAGGCAAACTTGAGTCAGGAGGAGCTTAGGGAGGATTTTGGAGCGTATGAGAACAGAAACCTTAAAGCTTAATTTTGTTAACAGGCAGGAAAACCCCACACAACCCAAAAAACTCTACACACAATTTTTTTTACTCTCATGCAGAATGCTTTGCAGCTTCTTTTCTATCAATTTTGCTTGTTGACATTAGCAACAATAACACTGAGTTTCTACACATCACACAAAATCACATCTCGTTCAGGACTTACTGCATGCTGGGTTTTGCAGAGCTGACATTTGTATTCAAAGGTGGAGAACTGGCAATATTTCCCTGTTTCACAGTCTTCATCGATGATACACTCCTGAAGAAAAGGATAAAAGTGTAATTTGCCACTGTGTGACTGAAATCTATATCTCTTCTTGAAATACCAGAAGCTCTTGATTGATTCTATTTCTTACTTGGGAACAAAATAAAAAAAGCTTGCTTCAATTCTTCACACAGCCACAGCTCTGTAAGAGACCAGTGTTATCTCCCTGGTTTATCTAAACACTCTGGCCTCAAATTGTTAGGTGGCTTCACTTCTTGTATACATATTAATACCAGCAACCTCAAGAGAAGACATTATCTCGTTCTGCAGGCTTTGTGTGCTTTTGTTGTTTGGGACTTCCTTTTTCTTTTTTTTTTTTTTGATTGAGGGGGGCACTGAAGACATTTGTATTAAATCTGTTGTATTTGAGTACAGTTTTGATTTATTACTTATTGGTTGTTTTTTCAGATGGGTGACAAGACTGAAGGAAAGAGGCTACACTACTGCAGCCACAGCAGCCAGGAGTATCTTTATGCTCTATGGGAGACCCTTCTGCACCAACTCTCTTGATCTCAGGCCAGGTAGCTGTAAGCTGTCCTCCCTCCTCTTCCCCAGCAATATCAGTGCCGGCATCAGAAACTCCCCAGCATGCTCAGCTTCACTAAACCAGCAAGGACCTCCCTCAGGGAAAAGGGGAATGTGTTTGCTTTTCCTTTTAACTGTTCCTCTGCTCCCCTTTCAGGGGGCACACAAATCCTTCTCAGGCAATCTTTGCAGTGCCTGAGTATTTTTGTCAGCAATTTTTTCTATGCTGAGAAATGCAGTTCTTCCTTCTCCAGGACTGGTAATGTTCAACATCCCTGGGGCTTCATGATAGCAGCAGCACTACTGCACAGCCAGTACTTCTGGGAAGCATGCATGTAACACACCACTGGATTTCCTTTTCTTTGGCTGATGGCATTTCTTTCACATACCTGTCACCACAGCCCATCACCTGCAACCTCACAGCTGCAAATTTTGAAATACCTACATATGTAAATTTTAAATCCTTTCTTTAATTTATTTCGAATATTGCAGGAGCAGATTCTCAGCTGGCATCTCCCTGCTCTCAGTGAATTTACATTTAGGAACATATGATTGACAAGTACTAAAGAGTCCCAAACATCCTAGGGAAAAGCAGCCCCACATTCCCTTGTGCATCCGCCTTTGCTACCCAGCCTGGACTCCAGGATAGGCCTCAAGCCAGCAAAGGTGCCTGAGCACGTCTGGTATTTCAATCCTGGGGTTACTTCATGGCCTAAACAGAAGTGTTCATGGGACCGAGACACCTGAGCCTGAATTGGAATTGCAAACTCAGACTGCAGTTTCCTCACGCAGAAGTCCTACAAGCACTGTGGAAGAGACAGCTCCCCTTTGGCTCCTGCTGCATGGGATGAATGCACAAACTGGTCAGGAATTCTTCCCAGAACATCACTCTGCAGGGATGGCAGTGAGGGTAATACAGAGTAAGTGCACATGTCTGTGTACCCCTCAGGTGTCTGGTTCACAGGGAGGGCCTGTTTTCTCTTCCCATCTACAGGTTACCTCCTCAAAATTGTGTGATAGACCTTGTTCTCTAAAGTGCTTTGTTGTTTTTTCAGACTGGAAACAATCTGGTCAATAGAAAAATAAATCATAGCACCATTCTGAGTCACCTGTACCCCATCATTGCTTTGTAGCATCCATCATAAGGTTGATGTTATCTTTTTGCTATTAGTCAAGAAGGTAAGGAGAGGAAGGGGAAAGAGAAAGAGAAAAAGGGAAAGGAAAGGGAAGGAAATTACACAAAAATCTCTGAATTCTCTGAAGTAACCACTTGACTGCTCTTTAGCAGATATTAATCTCACTTACTGGAACAGACCAACTGTTTACCTTTACTGAAAGTTTCCACTAAGCTTTTCATTTTCTTCAGATTTTCTCCAGATTAAACTTTATGGAGGCTTCTTGCCCCATGTGAGGCAAGGCTATTCTGAAAGAACAGCAATGCCTTGAATTGCCCATTTTGGCCACCTTAGATGTTTGCAAGCAGTTTGATCACCCAGAACATAGAACAGAAGCCAAACACAGCCTAGGGCCTGATTATTTTCAAGTCAATGACTGGATATTCAGGTTATGGTTATAATTCAGAAGAAGCCATTTTAGCTATTTTAAGAAATTAGTATCACCAGGTCTATGCTGCTATAAATTATCATAATGTTTTCAGCTTCATTATTCCAGTACTATCTGTGTTCTGCTTTTTTTGCTTTTCTGTTGCTACACAATCAGTCGGATCAAAATCCAAATATCCAAATGTTACATAGTATGCTGGAGGTTTTGTTGTTCCAAGTGAGCAATCAGCCACTTCTCTTCAGCAGCCACGCTCTTTTTGGCCACTTTTCTGTTTGTAGCTTTGTCAGCTTCTGTTATGAATCCGTCTGTATAAACCACACTCAGAATAGACTATACTGTTTCATTCCTGTTCCATCCACTTGCAGGCAAACAGCCAGGTCTTGCTGTAGTCAGTTTTTCCAACTGTCCCTCTCCACAAAGGAGAAATCTTGCCACAATTGTTTTCAAGCTCATGGAATAACTCTCTCCTAGTTCTAAAACCATCTAACACCAAAGTTGCAGATCTCCAGTCACTGCCTTCTCCCAGCTAGTGAGTCCCACATCAAAAAACTCCTTTTTTCCTCACTTACTGAATTGTATCCCACCAGTTCAGACTTCCAATTTTATGAGGGTTTCCAGTTGGGAAAAATCCCTTCACAGTTTTCTTTCCTGGCATAAAAAGGGCTTCCTTCCACATGCTGTCTGTGAAAAAAATTTTGTGCCACACTTAAAACTGACTTCCTTCACTCAGATATTATAATCTATGACTATGAGTCAATGCAGAACTCAGTAACTCTTACTTGCAGATGTGTAACCATGTATCTTTTTAAAATAATTTATTTTTATTTATTTTATCACGCTGCAGATCTTTTATAGTCCACTGCTTGAGACACAACAACTGCTGGACAAGGAGCAAATCTGAACATCTTCATCAGTTACAACAGATCCTGAACAATCCATTTTTTCCTGGGATTCTGCAAACTAAGGTATTTCTCAGAATATTTTGTCCTTGCAAGAGCAACTGCGTAAACAGGAGAGGGAGTGCTGGCTTCTGACAGGCAGCAGAGCACACAAGTTGAGCAGATAGCCCAGATAAAGACAGAATTAGCTACACTGATAATGGTGTACATCTCTCTGAAACCCATTTCAGCGTTATACCAGGTAATTTAATGTTGCAGCAAAGGAATACGTTAAAGAATAATACGGAGTGAAAGCAGGATTGTCTGGTTTTTACTGGGTATAATAGGACCCGTAAACAACAGAGGCCAGGACAGAGAATACCATGCTATGTACCTGTAAGGACATACTCAGCATCCTGTGGACTCATAAAATTGTACTCCACAGTGAATATCCTGCAACACCTGGAAGCAATTTGGGGTTAGGATCTGTTCCAGAACCAATAGGGGGAAAAAAACCACCCAACAAAAAACTGAAACTCGTGGCAAAGGTTCCTTGTATCATAGACTGCTAAAACAACTGCTGCTGAAAAAACTTCAGGTTTCTTGTCTCTGGCAGATTATGCCAAGCTATCACTGGCTTTCCTAAAGAATGGTTAGTGTTCACATTTGAGAATAAAAGAGTGACTGATGTTAGTGATAGTCAAGTATGGCAGGACCACAGGTTCCAGGAAAAGGAAACAGATGGTGCAGGACTGTATAGGTCAGAACTGGTGTGACATGTTTTGACACCACTGCTTCCCTTTGGGCTTTATGTTCACATATACATGGAAAGGCACAAAAGAAAAAAGTTTTCTTTCAGTGTGATGTGTCAATCTCCACCCTCCAGCCCACAGCAAGTCCTTGGCCTGGAGATACTACAGACTATTTTGGCAGACTGTACTGACTGGTGAAATGCAGCCCTCTGTGGTGTGGACCACATCATCCTCTGCCCTTAGAGCACATAAGGATAAAGAAGGAGAAGCAAAGAATTTCTCAGTTCAGGTTCTGAAAGCAGAACTACACAGAGTTAACCTACTTTCACACAGAAACCCACATTCTTTGGCAGTGTTCATCTGGTTTCTTTACCTCACTATTTTAATACTTGGTTTTGCTGTATATTGTATATACTTGTATATTGAAATCATGCTCATTTCACTTTGCTCTTTTCCCCCTTAATCCTTAATTAAAACCCTAAGAGTAGACTAGAAAATATGCTCAAGTCTATTCTAGGACTGTCTGACTTTCAAAATGGAATAATTTATTTTAATTTCAAAATGGACATTTGATTTGTCTATTCCCTCTCCCCACTCACACTCACCCTACCTCCACATTCTCAGAAAGTCCTTCTTCAAAGATCACTTTAAATAAAACTCTCTCTTCACTAGTCATATCTTCGGCTAATATTTGTCTGCCGGGGAGAGGCAAACGACTGTCTGGAATAAGCTTTCCTTCTGGGCTCTTTACATTTTAGCTTGGAACCCAAGAGAGCAGAGAAAGTCGCTGTTCATGACTTTATATACAACTTTTCAGTGGTCATTAACCCATCTATCAAAGGCAGACACTGAACATATAGGAGGAGGGGAGGGCAAATGGAACAGATGCGTGGAAGCACCTCCCACAATCTACAAAATCACTGAACAAAGAGCCATCTTACATGTTTTTTAAAAGCTCTGGATGCAAAGCAATGCCCCTTTCAAAAACCTGTAACTAAAATAAAACTCCACAAACAGTAGCTACAGATCCTTCCCAGGCAGTGTAAGAGCTCACCCAGCTGTACCAGGGAGACAATAATTTCAGCAATATCTGAAGGGCTTTAGCAAAACCACTGTTGGTTTTGGAACTGACATTTCTTACCAATTGGCACTTCTAAGACTTAACATTTACTTGTGTGTTTACATATCCCCTTCTAGGTTTTGTTTTAATTTCTACAAGTTGCTTCACATAGGGCTGGTCTCCATTATTGCAGCAGATGGCAAAAACTGCTGAGTA